TGTAGCATAGATAACCTTTGGTATTGATGACATTAATGTGTACATGTAGTTTGACGTCTTTGTTAGCAAGCCTGAGGTCATTGGCAAAGGCAATTGGTCTATCCTCTGTTTTCAGGCATGTGCATATGTATTAGCACATAAGCAGTCACGATGAGCTCATATAATATCAGATTCACTTTGTATTATACATAACAATTGGAATTGATGACATTTATGAGTACATGTAGTTTCAAGTCTTAGCTAGCAATCCTGAGGTCACTGGCTAAGGCAATTGGTCTATATTCTGTGTACAGCCATGTGTATATGTATTAGAACATAAGCAGTCACGATGAGCTCATATAATATCAGATTCACTTTGTAGCATAGATAACCTTTGGTATTGATGACATTAATGTTTACATGTTGTTTAAAGTCTTAGCTAGCAAGCCTGAGGTCACCGGCTAAGGCAGTGGGTCTATTCTTTATATACAGCTATGTGTATATGCATAGACTTGGCTTATATGACATCAGTATGTCTTTACACAACAATGACTTCTATAGGTCCTGCTTGCTGCTTTTGTCCTCCATTCTTTAGCTTGTTCCATCAAGAGAAGCAGGAAAATTGTTTAAAGCACCTTTAATATCTGATTTGCTTCGAGACCACGCCCACTCCTTTTTTACATTGGTTTCTATGGCGAGTGACAGCAAAACTGTTTCCTTTCTTTACAGATGCTTTATGAAGCTTTTACCTGCTTGAGATATGTCTTTGGACTCCCCTAAAATGGAACTGTTAGAATCTGGTAGCCATTTCTCGAGTGCTTCATGTTTGAGTGATATAGCAAGCCTACTTTTTAGTGTAACTACATAACTACTGTTTCTCGGTCTTAGATTCACCAGCTAACATCTTAAATCTTTAGACAATGTAAGAAGGAAGTTAGATAAAGCCCAGAATTACTTTTCTTTGCACAAAAAAACAAGTTTTGAAAGTTTAAACACATAGAATGACACACGGGCGAGTACACAGACGCCCACGCACTTTTACTACTTAGTAGTTAGATTCAAATTGAAGGAAGGCAGCTGGCTGCTTGTTTGTTTGCAAGAGAAGATCAGACTGTTAAAGGTGAGATGTGGTACCTCTTAGTACTCTCAGTTTACACTATACAGTTAGGTCACATGTTACCATGTGTTTTTTGTGTAAACAAACTGTTATCTTAACCACAAAGGCTTATCAATCTTTTTGTGGTCTCTTATCAGATTCATTTGTGATCACAAAGCAAACCTCTTCTATTCCTCTTTTTCTTTTAGATGACTACTAGACCAATAAGAACTGCATCCTGCAACACGTTTAAAAGTGTTGCTGAGAATGGACTGAAAGATAGCAAAGAACCACTTGGTA